CGTACTGCAATTACTGGTGATCTCCAATGTCACATTATAGGGCCGAAAGGATTATCCATTAGTAAGTTCTGGTATTTGATTGACCTCCTAGTTTCTGTTACGACTCGTACTGTATCTACAGTCTGATCTCCAATGTCACATTATATATAGCCGAAGGGTATTCCCCATTAAGTAAGCTACGTGACCGAGTGATGCTGGGATTTAGTTTCGAGATCGGGCAGTCTCTTTGACAGTCTCTCTATCGCCACATAGAACCGAAGGAGTCAATATCCATAAGTAAGCTTCTGTGTCGTGAGTGATCCTGAATTCAGTTTCGATCTGCCTATGGCAACTATATTTTATCTACCTACTTTCAGCATCGCAAGCTTGGTGAAACCACTTGTAATGTTGAATTAATAATATAAATTAATCTTGTTTTGGTGCTGAGAATACTCATCCCATTTCACTTTCAAATGGTGCATATTGCAACCCTACTTTGCATATCCCACCTTATTTATTAAAATCATAATGGTTCAATGATTCAAATATATACCTTATAATTATTATTCATAACATATACTCTGTATCATAATTTGTATTATTGAGATATGTATTTATCTCGCAGTTATTACTCCATCATATACCAATAAAAGAATCTATAGTTACTACATATACACAACGGGTCCACCGATACTAGACGATCACAATAATTTATTTATATGGCCAAATGATTAAAGATTAAGTGTTCCATCGTTATATGATCTATTATTTAGATGATCCTCGGATATTTAGAATGGGTGTTTAGTTCAATTTCATAGGTAAGGGGGGGAATGTTACAATGCGAAAGACGACGACCGCCAATCGGTTCCCATGTCGGCAAATCTGTTTCTGATTGTTCTTTTTTTGTTTCACGGCACTAAATTACTACACAATGAACAGGTAGTGAGCCATGAATGACAATAGAAAATTAGTAGCAATGCTTCAATAAAATATATACATAAAAACGGTCTAAAGTATGAACAAGGACAAATGCTACGCAATAAAGAAAATACAAAAATTGTCATTGGATTAAGTGAGGACTTATTTAAAATATGACCATTATATATCACTCTTATTGCTCATATAATCTTGATATAATATTATAAACGCGTAAGTCTGTAAGTATGGATGTTTATTGCTCTGTCATATAAAAATTACTCGAACGGATTTTGATGAAACTTTACAAAATACAGTAATATAGCTTAGACATCAGAATGACATATAGACTATATTTTATTAAAATTTATATATTGAAATTTAATGCGGGTGAAACCGCGGCCACAGCTCGTTATCATTATATAGTATAAAACAAAGTCGCTGTCACTGTCTGTCCCTATGTATGCTAAAATCTTTAAAACTACACAACGGATTATCCGTAAGTATATGGTTATGACGCAAATTGTGAAGACACAGCAGAAGCAGCTAACTATGTAATACAAGAGTTCTTTTGATTTTTGTAAACTAAAAATATTACAAATAATAGAAATTTCAATAATAATATATACAAAATTGACAGGTGTAGTTAATTACGTCTCGACTTGATATTTACACACAGACGTATGTAATAGTTTTGTTAATGAAGTAAACGAGTAAAAATTATTTATTAACAATTTGAACAACTTTTAATGAACAATTGGTTTAAAACATTCACCTCAATGGTATATACTCTGTGCACCGTATTATGGTGAGGGTGACAGTTACTAATTTTACATTTAACTATTCCTACATTTAAGTTAATAATTATATTAATGATTTAATATTATAGAAATGTGGTACAGCTGAAATACTAAATTATAATTTGTAAATCGCGGCAACTTTTAAGAGTGAAACGAAATATTAATGAAACTGTCACTCGCAATATGCTACAGCGCAAATGGTATAGTGACTTAGCACAATGACTTTCTTCCGATGATTGTGGGTTCGATTACGATACAGCCACTCATATTTATAAGGTTGAATATTTATATTAATGCCTGTCTTTGTATATATAAGGTGTAAATATATAAGAGACAAAATGTAGTTAATAATGTCTGTTGTATAGTACCCAAAATATGGTTTGCCCAGTTTCAGACTAGAGGACACTTGAGTTTGCTATATATGTATTACGTACTATACGTACTATGTGCCCGCGATTTCAGCCGCGTGAAATTTATAGCCTATATGTTATTCTAATATTTAAGCTATATTACTGTAAAGTTTCATCAAAATCCGTTCAGTAGTTTTTGCGTGAAAGAGTAAACATACGTCCATACTCACAAGCTTTCGTGTTTATGATATTAATAAGATATTAAGTAATAAATGTTATAGAATTAAAAAATACTTGAAAATCCCTATGAGTTGTAGGTATAGTGCCCATAACAAGGTTTAGTTTTGTTTTATCCTAGATGACACTCTGAGTCTTCCAAATTTTTTACAACATATTTTTTACAAACAGAATATCTGATATTTTTGCTTAAATCGACACACTATATCTATACGAAACGAGCAACTTTTATATGTAATATAGGTACACATAATCTTAGAAACTCTTAAGATGATTTGGAAGAATCATAAATAAATAAATAACCCTGGACAATTAACACAGCGCCAATTAACACAAGCTTTAGCTAGCTTAACTTGGGTCTAGATCAAGTTAAGCTAGCTAAAGCTTGTGTTATGGGCATTAGATAACTGATACAATACATAGATATTTTTTTCGTAAATACATATAGAAAACACCCAGACCGATACAAACAATACTCATAAATACAAATGTACGGTAGAAAAGCGGAAATACCTTATAAATTGTTATTTTCTTATCAAATTTTCTTTTAATCTTTATAAGTAAGTTTTCCAGAATATGCAAAATGTACGGAATAAAAATAAGATGTTGAGTTAACTTCTGTCTTCAGGTATATACATATATATATAACTACTTGAACCAAGAAGTTCACTCATTCCCTCGAGCGATATATTCAAAGTTTCTCATATGAGCATGTATTTATAATAGTTTAGATCTTTGTTCAATAAAACATCTTTTATTCAACATACATACATGTTAAAATGTAAATTTCTATATTGTTACATTTACAATATTATGTTATCTGTACATTTACTGATTATATGAACAGTAAACAATCTCGTTTAAAGTTTAAAATAATACTCTAATAAAAATAAAACAAGATTCCAATGTATACTCGCAAAAGTTGTTTTGCCATATAAATTAAAATTGCTATTAAAAATAGGGGTTGTTGGTAGAAGGATGAAAATTTTATTATTTGGTTCAAGGTATTTTTAATGCCGCATTATTAAAAAAAATAAAAAAATGTTAGGAGTGGACAACCCTATTTTGTAGCTATTTCTTACACCCCTAAGTGGTAGCTACAAAATACTAATAATACAATATCGGTCAAGCCGTTTTGGAGGAGTATGGTAACTAATATTGTGTCACGAGAATTTTATATATAAGACTTGCAATTGATATTTGTAAAGACTTTATCTCGACTTTAGTATACAATTTTGTATATAAGATATAATAATAAAGTCAGAACGATTCACAGAGCGCCATCTAGACCTAAGCTAAGCTAGCTAAAGCTTGTGTTATGGGTACTAGTTATATATAACAGTTACAAATACATATATTTTTTTCGTAAATACATACATATTATGCATAGAAAAAACCCAGACCGATACAAACAAAAATACCCATGAATACAAATGTCTGTGCCGTGCGAGGAATCGAACCCGCGACCGTCGGATGTAAAGCGGTGTGCTAGACAGCTAGACCACCGAGGTCGCCAGAGATATAACATTAAAAAGTCAAGATGTCTCAGAATATAAAGGATTAAAAAAAACGGTTCAGTACATAGTTTTAGTTATCGACCCACATTATTTTTATTCGGTCATTCAATAAAATGACTAACTTGGGAACTGCGTGGTCTCACACAATTTTTTATGATACTGTGATGTTGCAAAATAAATAATAACATTGTATTTTTTTTACATTTGATATTTTTGATTGAATCTATACTTTCTTAGTAATAATAATAACCCTGGATAATTAATACAGCGCCTTTTTAGTCCCACTGATATTTTTGATTGAATCTGTATATTTTTAACTAGCTGTACCCGCGACTTCGCCCGCGTGGACGAAACGTGAATTATACTTTATTTTTCTAAATAAAATTAATGTTTCTAAAATAAAAGTAGCCTAAATTACTACTTATTACATCAGCTACCTGCCAAAAAAAGTCCCATCAAAATCGGTCCAGCCATTTCAGAGATTAGCCGGAACAAACAGACAGACAGACAGACAGACAATTATATATTTATATTCATATGCATGTAGTAAAAAACGGTTATTTCAATATTACAAACAGACACTCCAATTTTATTTATATATATAGGTAATAATAATAACAATCCTGGACAATTAACACAGCGCCGTGCAGTCCCACGGTAAGCAGAGCTTGTGTTATGGGTACTAGATAACTGACATAAATAATAGATATTTTTGTTGGTAAATACATACATAAATATAGGTAGAAAACACCAGACTGATACAAACAGTAATACCACATACAATGTTTGCACCGTGCGAGGAATCGAACCCGCGACGTACCCACATTGTGAAGTAAAGTAAAGTCATCTCGCTCCAATCACACAAATATCCTGCTCCGATCGACCTCCCGTCCAATTCAAACGGGGATCGAAATTACGACGGCCTGAGCCGAGGTTCGAACCCCTAGTGGTGCCCTCAGACTAAAGTCGTATCCGTCAGGCAGGAGTTGGCCTTCAGCCGCTCCATAAGTCCTTCCGCGGGTTTGGAGTGCCATCTGCACTCGCCCCTAACGTCTGAAGCTAAGCTAGTCCGAAAAAAAAACAAATATACTGAGCGTAACATGGGCATATAAGCGTTACAATTACCATAATCTCAACAGATGACAACACCTTCAAATGACCGTAGGATAACTGTATTAATATAAAACTTAAAATTATCTTACGTTGAATTGAAGTTATCAACTGATGCTCGCTTTTCATCCTTTTCCATTTTTCAATGTATCTGTAATATAAAGAATCATCATCATTATATAACATAAAAATTAAATCACACCGCCTTACTTCCAATAGTAGCGGGTTCCAATCCTCGTACGGCACAAACAATTGTCTTCATGAGTATAATTATTTGTATCTGGGTGTTTTCTATATCTAATACGTATTTACGAAAAGAAAAATACACATGTATTTATATCAGTTATCCAGTGACCATAACACAAGTTTTAGCGAACTTGAATCTAGAGGAATTGTGAATTGTCCTGAGATTATTTTTATTACATATTCTTTTATGTCTGAGAAGTTTATTTCCATAATAAGAACTTGGTTCAATGGATAGATTTTATTGGTTTCATTGAGACAAGTACATTTTCGTCACACCATGGTGTACTTATAGAGGAAAACACCATGACATTGACAATAATAGTATTGTTCACGCTTCGTGTTTCCTAAGCAATAATAATACTCAATACCACGATATCGACAATTTTTTATACTTTTAGATCTTAGAACGCTAAATAAGAATAATATATGGTTGTACCGTAAGATAGAACAGTCTAGACATACCTACTGACATAATAATTAAGTCTATATATATTTTTGACTAATTTAAAGTCTTAAATTTAATTTAAAAAAATAATAGCTATGTAACTGAGGTCAATGTGAATTTGGCTGTGAATGAAAATGTTGGCTAAAGTAATTCAAAATTCAAAATTCATAATTCCAAATTCAAATTACAATATTCAAAATTCATCTCTATTTAGGTAACACATTCATCTTCATTTATGTAACACATTTTTACAACTACATTCTTCTCGTACTTGTTGAAGACTCCTTTTAAACGTAAAGTATAATTAGTATAATATACTATAATATACTATATTTAGTATTGTACTTATAAAGTATAATATACTATAATTAGTTACATAATTCAATTTTAGGGGCAACGTCGATACATAATGTCGATTATTTGAACAATATACATTCTATATACAAGCTTTAAAAAAAAAAAGTAATTTAACTAAGTTTCTTGCCAGTACTTCTCAAATGGATATATATACTGAAATGGACGGTAGGGAAAAATTAATATGAAAAATATGGCGTACATAAGCAGATAAAATGTCCTACATGAATAAATGATTTTTGAGTTTGAATTATAATTTCAATGACTGACATCTGTATTAATAGGTTAAAAATGAGAGACGTTTCCTGGTATCGCCAATCTATGCATTAAAATCAGCTTCACAATAAAAAAACATAGCAAAATCAAGAAAGGGTCAAAGAATAAAGTACAATAAATATATATAAAAGAAAAACTATCAAAAAAGGTTGCTGATAGGGTGCCATATCACACATAAGATATTAGACAGGGGTAATACTAAAGGCTGAAAGTAATATCTTTAAATAAAGTTTATTTATTATGGACGGCCTCGGTGGTCTAGCTGTTTGGCACACCAATTTACTTCCGAACGTCGCGGGTTTGATTACTCGCTCGATGTAAATACATTTATTTATAAGGATGTATCTAATGTATCGGTCTGAGTGTTTTCTATTTATAATAAAACCCATAACACAAGCTCTGCTCAGCTTGGGACTAGATGACGCTATGTGAAATCCTGGGTTAATTACAATTGTCTGATTATTTTTACAAGATTTTTATCCCATTCAGGTGTCAGATTTAGTAACGAGCTGGCATGAAATTTCTCAGTCTTTTAAAGTAGGTTTACAGCAGCAATACTCCTAATTAAGTCAAACAAGATGTTATATCATTTATCTCGAAAAACTATAATAAGTAGAGAACAGAAACATTTTGTTTGTTCAGATAAAGTCGTAAGAAACAAATAGATATATAAATGAACAGATTTCCGAAACAGGAAAATCGCATCTAGTAACAATATTATGACAGTATCGCATTTTATCATCAAACATCTGCAGACATCGACCGATAACGACAATAGATACTCGTAGATTTCGCCAATACCTTACACAATTGACTATTGTATTTCACCGACTTCAAAGAGGATGTCCACACTAAGTAATATTTACTCAATCTGTTCTCGTTATTAAAGTATAATTGTGATATATGACGAGAAAACCAAGTACTTAAGAAAAGTACTAGAAACTATAAAAAAAGTAAAGCGTGACTATTAATAGATATTGCAGTACTATCTAACATTACTAGCTGTGCCTACAGTTTCATCCGCATGAAATTTATAGCCTATGTCTTATTTTAATAATAATAATCTCAGGACAATTCACACAGCGCCATGTAGATCCAAGTTAAGCTAGCTAAAGCTTGTGTTATGGGTACTAGATACAAATACATAATATAACATAACAAACATACATAATATACATAGAAAACATCCAGACCCTTACAATCAATCTCAAAATACAAATGTTTGTACCGTGCGAGGAATCGATCCCGCGACCGTCGGACGAAAACGGACCGCTAGACCACCGAATCGTCAATATATTGATGTAAAAGCGTGGAAGAGTAACAAACATCTAAGAATCTATCCATATATACTCACAAACTTTCGCGTTTTTAACATTAGTAAGATTTATACGATTATGAATATATATATATACGAATTGATATGTATAACAAGTACTGAAGATATAATATTAAAAAAGATAATTGTTATTTTCCTTTTTTTCTGACTCCTATTTAGTCACTCAAGTAGTTGGTTGATCCTTCATTATTTTGATAATTAATTAGTTCTTACTGGTATGTTGTATTCACACATTTATAAAAATGTAAAGTTACAACCAAATTATTTAAAAGAGCATGAGCTAAATTATTCTCTTTTCTCTAGATATCTTGCCCAAAAGATCTCTGACAGCAAATGTTTTCGGTATAGATTACCAATTCAATGGATACATCAGATAGACATTGGCTACACAGCAGTCAATGTTTTCGTACAGCCAAGAACCGTACCAGATGAAGACTAAATTGCGAGGTGCTATATCATCAAGGAATATAATTAAAGATAATCCACTCAATCTATCTCCATCATGAGTTTTTTTTTCGGACTACTAACGCTGTTGATCGCAGCTGGCCTTCATCTTCACCGGCCGATTGTGTCAAGAGTATATGAATAAAGAAGAGAACAAATGTCTTACCTTCTATAGAATTATGAATATATTTATCTATAATGCAATTGTTTTAAATTATCCTTGAATATTTACAAAAAAGCACGTAAAATAATAAAAATTGTAATATTTGCATATATTTTTGGAGAATCTTTTATCAAACAACTTAGCCAATTATATTATGTATATTCTTACCAAGGCTTTACTATATTTGTAATAAAATACTAAAAATGTTTAATATATCTTTATGAAGGTTAAAACTATTTTTATTTTTATAAACAACAAACTATCAATGCTGTCGGTCACAATTTCACTCAAATGTAGATAGCGAGTCCAGATGCCACTAAACCCGCGGAAGGACTTCTGGAGCGCCTGAAGGTCAACTCCTGAAGGCCTGATAAATTTTTTTGACCAGCTTTTAACTAAACGCATTGTTTGTACAACTACTACTACATTGGTTTTGAAAAAGATTGTCTATCTGCCTGTTTGTTCCTGCTTATCTCTGAAACAGTAGACCGATTTGAACGGGACTATTACTCGCAAATAGCTAATGTTATAAGCAGTAGCTTAGACTACCTTTCTTTTATTTCCACGCAGACGAAGTCTGGGATAAGCGTATATTACATGCGTATATGTAATTTAGCTTTTAGGCATACATAGTGCTGGATTACAATCCAGATATTTATTAAACTACACGCTACTAATCAAATTCTTGTACTGATTGTAATCTGTTTTGTTTGCTAATAAATAAATAAATAAGAGCTGGTTTAAATTAATAAAAGTGTCGTTTGTGAAGGTATCTTGATAACCTAAAGGTTATCAATGATAAATAATATTTGAATTACAATTCCAATATGATTTAATGGTTGGAACTTAAATGGTAAATTAAATTAAAGATTTAAATGAATATGCAAGTGTCTGAGCAAGAATTACATCTATGGTAGTAAATACTATATTCGATTGACTATTGGGTGTATTTTCAATCAAATAATTTTTTTTTGAGAAATTTTTCAGAAATTTGCACCTACTTTGATTAGGGTTAATATGTGTTGAGATCCTTTTCCGCAAATTTAAGTTGATATAGAATTAAATATGGGTTAGGTATATTTGCTGGGAGGATACAAAAAATGTAGTAGTATATTTTATACATTATTCAATCTATGTTTTTTTAAAAGTCTATTGTTACATTTATTAATTTACAATGTTAGCTATAATTAGTGAATAATAATCTTTTTAAAAGACTAATTTATATCTGTTAATATCTTGAAACATGAATATGTATTCTACATTATAATAAATATTAACGTTTGATTTCTAAAAGTGATTTTAAAAATAGAGGGAAATGTTTACCTAAGTGTTATTTTTGTAATTTATTAAAACATCTACAGAACATAACCAGTCATTTAATTTATAAATTTAGAATTTGTCATAATTAACAAGAAAAGAACTTAAAAATATGTGATATGTGACAGTGATACAAACCATTAACAATAAAGCAAGAAATAATTATCACTCACAAATATTAGAATATAATTTCTAAAACATAACAATAGTGATGTTTGTAAGACATTTGAGAATCGACTAATTTTTCAAGCGTGCAACGACATGATCTACAGTGTGCGTGACAAATTATTGTACACCACAAAATAATATTCAACTTTATTACGTCGCGTTAAGATTTAATTTGTATCAAAATAAATACACCGGTCAAGGTCTCAAGTGCAGGTAAGTGTAGATTAACGTCGTCACCAGATTAAACTATTGATTTATTAATCAGGCCCTATTGATTATAATTCACCATTCTATTGTACTTTAACTAATACTAGTGGTCGCCCAATGCTCACAATTTGACGACAATAAATTAAATATCAAAAGATCTTAGAACCAGCTGCAACAATTAAACAAAAGAGTATACCAATATATGCATGTGTCACATAAATAATATTTAACATACTAGCTACTCGCCCCGGCTTCGCACAGGTGTGCATATATTTTACATATAAACCTTCCTTTTAAATCGCTATCTACTTAAAAAAACCGCTTCAAAATCCGTTGCGTAGTTTTAAAGATTTAAGCATACATAGGGACAGATAGTGACGGCGACAGCAACTTTATTCTATACTATGTAACTAGCTACTTGCCACGGCTTCGCACGGGTGTGTTATATACATATAAACCATACTCTTGAATCACTCTAGCTATTCAAAAATATCACCGCTTCAAAATCCGTTGCGTAGGATTAAAGATTTAAGCATACATAGTGACAGACAGCGACAGCGACTTTATTTTATAGTATATTAGTAGACTTTATTTTATATAAGGATAATGATAGTAATAAAAAATCTGGAACAAGGAAACACAGATGATTATGATCATTTAATGAAACTTATAAATACTGATAGACTGTCTCATTATCACAAAACCTAAATGGCTCTATCCGGTAACTTGAAATTTTGTTTAAAAATTCTTTTTATTACGCCGACTTAGGAAGGATTTCCTGAAATTTCCATAGGAAGCACAGATAATGGACTGTTCTTAAGAACCGGGATATCCGTAGAAAAAATAAAATGGCCGATATTATTAAACTGAAATGGTAAAAGCCATTAACTATGTACAGCACATTAATATCTGTTGAACAATTAAAATTTAGCTTAATCTTTTATTAAAGATCGCCATATTTTTTATGTAAATAGGGTGACTACCGGACGGCCATTGGCAATAATCACTTTTATATAAATATTGTCCCTAATGATAAACAAGTAGCTACTTACATATCATCATCGTCATTATTATTACATAGTACAAAATAAAGTCGTTATCGCTGTCTGTCCCTATTAAATCTCTAAAACTACGCAACGGATTTCGGTTTTTTTAATAGATAGATTGATTCAAGAGGAAGGTTTATATGTATCATTCGTAGGTAATTTTATAAAAAAAAAAAAATTAATTTCATGCCATTTAACGTATGATGTAATGCAATTTACTTACTGTTAATTATGTTAATATAACAAATAAAAAATTGTGATCACAAGATAACAAAATTAGAGTGGACTTTAAACATTGTTATTTTTTTTATATATTTAATACAGCCAGTACGGAACGGATAGAGGACTCTTTCAAGAAGATGGGCAGCATGTTGGTGGGGACCCGGACCGCGAGCGTTTTGAAGCTCGCATTGTGACTCGATTCCAGCTGCGTCACCCTCAAAGTCATGTTACTTTTGATTCGAATACAATCTACAATGTCCTGTTCCTTTGTGGTTATACAACTCCACCAGGAATACTATAACGGTCACGTATAAACTGCTAACTTTCATCAGATCTATAAACAAATTAAAAATCAGAAATTCACACGTAACCTTACGGCCTCTTCTGCATGTCATATTTTTTTTCACTATATATACTGTTGAGTTCGCCTAACTACATCACTTTAAAGAATTGTCATAAATTCAACTAGTACATTTTTATTTATACTCTAGCTGTACCAACTTCGTCCGCATGTTATAGTGACTTTGATAACATAAAACAAAATTCCATAATCTAACCCAATAAAAGACAAGGAAAAAGGTTCATTTTCTAGCATAAAAAATGACGACTTTCTATACAAACTTTCGTCTCCCCTTTCAATCCCTTAAAACCTTTCCTTTGCATTAAAAACTATACTATTCCCTTTATTAGGGTTTAGACTAATTGTGTACCAACTTTAATTTAAATCAGTTTAGTAGTCTTGATGTGAAAACGAGACAGACAGACAGAGTTACATTAGCATTTCTAACATTAGAATTGAGCGCTCGTGGGACCTCACATGTGTCGCTCTTTCTGAGGACTAAATTCTCATGATTTTAAGTTCTGAATGTATTCCACTACCATATTCGTTTAATTTTTATTTATTTATACGAATCTACTTTTAAAAATATATGTATATCCTTTTTAACTGTATAATGCAAATATATTTTACCTAATTGTATGTAAATGTTTTAATCATCACCTAAAAAGTCGATAATCAATATTTAGTACTACAAAATGGTGATACAAGGTTGATCCTAAGTAGGCTATTTTGTAAGATTATTAACTGAATATTTAGAATTTCACCTTGAGTTTCTATGATAGCGATACACACACGTTTAAGATAAATTTTATTATATCTAAGTGAATATGATCTTAAATACACGGCGCGCTCGCAAATATGTACTAATTTTTATTAATTGACAATGAAGTTCTTACGATATTACATAGGAGTTATATAATAATTTATTATTGATAATAATAACCCTGGATAATCCATACAGCGCTATCTAGTACCAAGCTAAGCAGAGCTTATGTTATGGGTACTAGACAACTGATATAAATACTTAGATACATTTATTTATTTGTAAATACATTACGGCCGATGGTCGGTAGTTTAGTTGTTTAGCACATCACTTTCCCTCGCACGGTACGGTATTATGTATATATTACATGTTTTTCTCTTCTATTTATCCCTGTTCGCAGTCATCTCGATATTTAGTCCCTTTGTTGCTATATCATCTTCACACAGTCCATTTATCTCTTTTTTTGGCCTGCCTCTGCCCTTAACCACACTTTCATATGTGAAGAGAATATTTTAAAGACAGTAGGTCTTTAAAATACACTCTTATTTCTCTGCATCACCATGCTCCACATACCATGACAGACGATTACTTTGCAACTTCTCCGACACTGATGGTACTTTCATATTTCCTCGAATGTATTCATTTTTCATCTTGTTCATTCTTATCACACCACACATCCGACTCAACATTTGCATTTCGGTCTCCCATCCGTCGCCTTTACGGTCGACACTCTAATAATCTACCGGACAAAAGGCCGAATCAGAATCATTTTTCCTTAAGTTTGAGGGGATCAAGTCACGTCTTCGCTGTATTTTTATTATTTTTTATTAGGTTGTTTCGGCTATTGTCAGGTGCTTACAAGCAGCACTGCGATCTACATAGATCTGTTGTGCTCGCACCTTTTCAGAGTTCACAACCTAGACCCTTCAGGGACAAGAATTGATGGATATTCTTATTAGCAATGGTTTTTATCTCCTCGGGAGAAAACTTACTAACTTTCCAAAGGAGATATTACATTTATGCATGAGTGGGTTAGAACCATATAGATGTGTAGTGGCATTTCCTCTTCAGTTTAGGAAAATCTGCAGATTTTTGTTGTATATAGGCTTAGTTTTGTCATAAGTTTGTTCAATTTCCAGTGTGCAGTGAGGGACTTAGTAATCATGCATACTCAATAGCAATAGTCTATGATTTTCGCTGTAGCCAACGACCACTATTAATAATAATAACTATAAACATTTAGAATTTAACCTTGGGCTTCCATGATAGCTACCTACACGTTCAAGATAAATTGTATCTAGGTGAATATATGAAATGTTTTTATACAACACATTTCATAATAAACACTTAATAGATTGTCTATCGTGCAATTGAGATTTGATAAGAATTGAGAAATCTGTGAGTATTGGTAAGTGTACTAATCATATCTGAGAATGGTTGTATTCTTCATGACCTTGGTAGTCTTTAGGTTTAGGTTCTTAGGTCTTTAGGTTAGCACGTGGTCTTACCTCTGATGGTTACTAGTTCGATCTCCATGCAATACTATATTTTTATCTATGGGTAGTTATGTTGTTTATTTTTCCAGTTTTTCAGCATCCAGTATAATCTGTGTGTTAGTTTGGTTGATTTTACTAGAGTTTCAATACTTAAGTACGGAATAAAAATGTTTTAACATTCTTCAAAAATATTTAAATATTCATTTATTATTCAGAAGTGCTTTTTAAAATTTAATTTAATTAAACCAAACATTTATATTCTTTTGAAGTATGTATTTGTATTTGTGTCTACTGCTGAAAAATAGTTATAATGAAAATATTCTTTGAAAAGGTATATAGCTGGTATTCAATGGGTAGTATATATTAACAATAAATAACAGATATCTGTCTGTATTGACAAAAAATGTTTGCATGCCCAAATATTTTTTATTACACGTTTCTGAGTATTTATTAATATATCGGAAACCAAATTTGTATAAAGCAAATACATAAAATTCTCCACAAACAATAACAAAAAGGTCATACGGTAAAATAGTTTTTTCGCTATATTTTTAATATGTATTCATTTTTAAGGGAACAGACAAAGCTATAAAAATATAAACAGAAAATTCTTTATTCATAAAACTTACATTTATGTAGGCATTTTTGAATAATTATACTTTTTTAATCTATAAACATTCGGAAGGGTTTCAGAACAAAAAGAACTAGTAAGTAATTTGGGTGTTGCTATTTGAAACAAATGTAATTTTACAAATTTAAGTTAAATTACTTTAGAAAACCCAATCATAATTAAAAATACACGGTTCTAGCCCTTATTTCATAACAATAAGAATAAATAATAAATTACCTTATATTATAAAAAATGAAAATAGATATAATAAATTCATTATGCAGTTAAAATATTAAAAGTTAAGAAATAAAGCTTATTACAAAATCAGAGAATATTTCAAGACGTAGATGAGTAATATTAAAACGGCCGCATCTCTT